TGGGCGGATGTCGCTCGAAGCGTCGCCACACAGATAGCTGCGCAAGCACGGTCACACAACTTGCCGCAGGCACCTGGATACTCGCAAAGACAAATGACAGGAGAAGGTCGCATGCGACGAATTTCATCGTGGCTGTCGTTGGAGGTGTCGAAGAGGCGGTACTCGACGTCACCTGTCAGTGCAGAAAGCACCTCCAGCGCCTCGCCCCAACCAGTCATGCGATGCCGAAGCTTATACATGGGGCGCGACGGTATCACTACCTCCTGCTTCCTCTTCCTCTCCTGGGCAAGTCCTACGACAAAGCGGAGTGGATTACCGGATCCGCCGCAAGATCGAACGTCAGCTCGTAGGTAAGGGAAGGAAGCAAATAAGAATGATGAGGGGGGAATGACGTCGACGAACGACGACTACAGTGCTGCCCGTCTCTTTCACTTGAGCTCCACACCCTTCGGGACGGAAGGAGAAAGGCGATGAGAGCGAGAGCGGCAGCCAGGGGGAGAAGAACTCTCAGAGATGAAGAAACAAGAAGGCAAGAGAAGAGAGATGGATGGGTGAAGGAAGCATGGAGGAAGGCAAGCAATGAGGAATGGCAGGTGCTCGCCTAGCTTCATCCCGCGCGCAGTGTTTTTCATCTGCCAACTGCTCTGCAAGCGCGATGCTCATACACCGACCAACATCTGTTCCAAGTAGACCACTCCTGGGCGTCAGCCTGGCCGGGCGTCCAGCCGTGGCGACGACGATCTCCAGCACGGCCCAAAACCTCCAAAAGGACAACGACGTCGAAGACGACGTCGTCATAAATTCCTGAGAGACGCGACCATTCGCGACGCCCCTCCGCCGTCCGTGCTGCGCCCATTCTCTGCACAGGAGGCTCCCTCGACGAGTGCTCGCAGACGGCCAGACGGGCCCGTGCGGCTGAGGCCAGGGCGCCGCCGCACGAGACCGGTTCGGACACATCGATCCGTGTGCCGCAATGCACCGTGGTTCTGCCGGAGGGGGGAGGTGGGGCAGGGAGAGGAGAGAGTAGGAGCGGGGGGAGGAAGGGGAAAGGAAGGCTAGGGAGAGACGAAGGATGAGGCGGAGAAGAACCGGAAATGCTCGCACGCATAAGTGGCGAGAGGATCATTTCATGACCCGGCACTATTATCTCCCAATGCGAATCTCAACGCGATAATCTCGTCTCGTCTGGGCTCCTTGTTGCCCTGTGCTTTCGGGCCACGGGGATCCTCGCCCCCCTGCAACCAACACAAATCCGCCACCATGCCTTCAGCACGTAGTGGAGTGCTCCAAGGCTCATGCAGCCCTGAGAAATAAAGAGCTGCAAAGTTGTCAGGGCCTGGGCCACCGGTTTCACAAGGATTCCCCAGGATTTCTGGGGATTCCCGGAGATCTGGGACTTCCTGGGGTAGCGCAGCTGGCCCAAGAGGGCCCCAAGAGGGTCCAAGAGAACCCCGACTCGCCACACGATCTGCCAAGGGCGCCCGAGATAGCCTCCAGGCGGCCGAAAAAGCTCCCAGGTTGTCCCAAGAGGCCTCCAAAAGCCGCCCCAAGAGGGCTCCGAGAGGCAAACATCATTGTTTTTGTCCGTAGGTGTTCCCATGTTTTGGGGGTCCTCGACCTTTCTAGCATCCAACGATCCATGGCAGACGAAGAAACCTAAGACCGCCCCAAGACGACCCAAGAGGCCAAGAAGGCCCCCAGATGGCGCAAGAGGGCTCCAAGACGGCCTCAAAGGCGCTCAAGACGGCCCAAGAGGGCCCAAAGACAGCCCCAAGAAGGGCCCAAGAGGGGGAACACGAACGGCTCCCAACAGGCCCGAAGCGGCTCCCAAGAGGCCCGAAGAGAACCCCAAGAGACTCTCTAGCTCCAGAGGCCCTCAAGAGGCTCCAAAACTGCTCCCAAAGGGCCTCCACACGGCCTCCCAAGAGGCCCCCGAGAGGCCCCCCGCGACATCCCAACGAACATCCTCGAGCCCTATAACCCACAACCCAGGCAAGGTGGCGGGATGGGCCGACGGCCATCAGATACCAACGCACATAGTAACAACACTAACAAAAGAAGCGATGGGGAAGGAGAAGAGGATGACGGGAGAGGATGGGGAGGAGGAGGAGGAGGAGGAGGAGGAGGAGGCGGAGAAGGAGGAGGACCAATGTAAACCATAGAATTATCAAAGATGCTGCAATACACCCTCGCTCCAACTTCCCTCGTCATAGGCTCCTACAGGGGTTCAGTTTCACTGATGGACGTGCCCCGTTGGAAGACAACCGTTTGAACAGATTGAGCTGTACCAGAACACATTCCTGGAACTTCAGCGCTGTGAGTCACCGTTACTGCTGCGTCTTGACGATCCTGAATGGCGCCATAACACCATTCCTGGGACTTCAACACTGCGAATCAACACGCGGCTGCGCCCTGACAATCCGACATTGTGCCAACACACCTTTTCTGGGACGGTAGCAATGAGAATCCTTGAAACGGATACAGGATCTTAAGACGAATGTGCGCGCAGCAAAAGCAACAACGACATTTTGAAAACAAGAACCACCATCCATCCGCAAAACTCTTACGCGGCGCTAGTGCGAGAACCGCATATGAAAGTTTCCCGCCCTCCAGCCGCGAAGCTCTTGTCTGTTTCACGAATGCGCGCGGCGCTACGGCGAGAGCCACATCCTGAAAAGGAAGAATCCTCCATCCGCTGAACTCTTGCAAACGCCAAAACGAAGGTGCGTGGCGCGAAAACGCGAAACACATGTTGAAAGCGGCCCGCCCTCCATCCGCAAAACTCCTGCAATTGTTTAAAGCTGAATGTACGCGGCGCGAAAGTGAGGGTTACATTTTGAAACGAAACCGCCCTCCATCCGTGAATCACATGCAAATTCTCACCTCAGGGATCATATATCGTGAGGAAGTGTCGAGTGAAACGTCTGACCCGCCCTACTGACACGCCTCGGGGTGTGACAGGGAGGAGTTAGTTACAAGGAAAGGAATGGAGGAGGGGGTGAAAGAAGATTTGGAGAAGTAGTCACAAGGACGGGGCTGGAAGAGGAAGACGAGGAGGGGGAGAAGGAGGAGGCACGGGGGGCAAGGCCGTGGGAGGAGGAGAAGGGGCAGGGAGGGAGAAGTAACAAGAAACATATGGCGGGGGAGGAACAAATAATGATGGGGGCTGATGAAGGTTATGGAAGAGGATGAGGAAGAGGACGAGTCAAGGGGAGAAGACAGAGATGTGAGGAGGAGGGGGAGGAGGAGCATGAGCACCCGTGGCTGGGGAAGGAGAGCGGGGAGCAGGATGCAAGGGGAGAAGGCAGGGAGGAGGAGGAGCGGCAGGAGCATCCCAGGCCCGAGAGGGAGAGGGAAGACGAACAAAACTGAACGAAGGAAATGATCCTGAAGGAAGCAGGTCCTGGACCAAAGGGCTGTCTCCCGGAACATTGTTTCTCATCCCGAGTCGTTTTCTGACGGTCCCAGGGCCCGGGGGGAGCCCTAGGAGGCCAACTATTACGAAGAATATCAGACCACGTTTTCTTCAAAACCGCTTTGGCCCATAGCGATGTGGTTTGGGGGTTCAGTTGCTCCCAAGACCTGTCCAGGGATGCGTTCTGGCCCGAATCTTCAAGGAAGCTTCAGCCGTGGCGACGAGGAGCCCCCTGGAGGCCCGAAAGGTACAAAGGCGTCCCAAAGCCTCGAACCTCGATCATCCAACCTAGATCGTCGGCGTCATGGCGAGGAGGAAGAAGGATGAGGGAAGCGCGCTGACCTGAGGCGGCCGGTCAGCCCGCCGCTGCGGTAGAAGCCGTCAAGCGGGTTCGCCTTGGACCGCGTGGCGCCGAAGAATCTCCGGTGGAACCTGATAAACTCCTTCGGGTCGCTGACAGCAGGAAGGAAATACGGTCAGGAACTCTTGGTTAGCGTTCCGCGCCGTTGACCCACGACCATTTCGCTTCGGCGCGACACGCTAACCACGTCCCAGTCCCCAGGCGTCAACGTCCCGATCCTTTCCCAGCTCCCCGCGCCGCGGGCCAGAGCGACACGCTGTCCGCTTGCTAGGCATAGTGTGTCGCCAGGGCCGCCGCCGTGACACGCGACGTCACAGTTCTTGACCTTCAGGGGGAGGCTCGGAATCGTTGCTGTCGACGCAGACAATCCCGCATGCAGCTGCCGCGGGTGAATCGCCTAAGTGTGCTGTCTATTTAATGCGACCTGCCAACACATACTGACCGCTGTCAAGGACGAGACGCTGCAAATCACCAACAGCGCATTCGGGAGAGCAAGAAGGACGAAAAGGAGGCTCGGGGATCCAGCTTGCTTGTCGGTGCGATTGCTTGTGGATCGGCATGCTGGGGCGTTCTGGCTGTTTGGGGGCCTCGGGGAGCCTGCGGAGATAGGGAGAGAACTTAGATGCATACTTCGACAACAAGCCACAATTGCGGACATGGCGTGCCATGGCATGGCTCCCCACCCGTGCCCCGCCCGCCCGCCCCAGGCGAGCCCTAAGCGCAGTGGTGAATTCACGTGGCAGCCCAACGATGCACAACTGGACAGCACACAAGCTGGAGGGGGGGTGCTGAGAAGGAGGAGGGCACCGAAGGAGGCGTGCCCCCAGAGCAGGAGTACTGGAAGCATGCGCAGACACAGACAGCGACAAGCGTTGCGAAACGCATTGAAGCTGATCGAGCTGTTGTTCCCCATGGTTTGGGATTGTAGCGGGGCGAAGGGGGGGAGGCGGAGGAACCATGAGAGGTACGTTGAGCACATGAGAGACGATCAGTTTAAGCAGAGAGGTCTAGACATAACGGCCCCTCCTCCTGCTCTCTTCTCCTCCTCCTCCTCCTCCTCCTCCTCCTCCTCCTTCCCCTCCCTCCACGTATGCTTCCCTATCAAGGTGGGGATGCTGAGAACATGTCCTCAAAGCTGATGGTTCCGTCCATGTTCTCATCGGCGCACCTCCACCAGTGCTGGACTCGGGTGGTGGGGATGTCCTGCTCGCGGGCAGGTGTGGAGGCAGAGGAGGGCGTGGAGGACGAAGCCAGCGTATAAGAAGGAGTGGATGAGGAGGAGCACGAGGAACCGGAGACCAAGGATGATAGAGATACTGATCATGCCAATGCGGGTGCGCGGGGTAGAACAGCTGAGGAACACGAGCCGCGCCGTCGCCCTTCGCCCGCCGCAGCGCACTGCCAAACCCCACCCTGGCAGTACGCCGTCATCGTGCGATACACTCACCGCCTGATCAGCATGCAATGTATACCGACGATTATTCTCGTTGCCATGGGCCAGAGCAAAACATCCTGTGGGAATCAAGTCCTGGGCACCCCGTGGCTTCCCTGACGCGGCATTCCATCCGCGGCGAGGGATCCAGGAAAACGAGAACTGCTGGCAACAAAAGCAAAACCGCTTTGCCGCTTTCCCTCAGAACCCTGCCCAGTTGTGATCTCTGGCTCGTGGATCAACGTTTTCGACCCTCGGACCTCTCTGGTGGCGCATTCTGGCGAGAATCTCGAAAGGAATCCAGCCGAGGACGCCCAAGTAGGCGCAAGAAATACCGAATCGTCCTCTCCTCCAAAGTGCTGAAAATCCTGAGGCCCATGGCTATCACGGGCCGATCGCGCGACCCTGCCAGGCCGATCGATTAATTGCTCGATCGTCGGCCGCGCAGTCGGCGGCCTCGCGAATGAGGGAGATCGGGCCCGTGCGCGACCAGTCGTGGAGTTCTGCGAAGGATAGGCTGCGCGAGACGGTGTGGAGCCCTGCGGTGGAGGAGGGGATACAGTCAAATTTGATTGGAGACGACGCGCGAGAGTACACAGGACCCTTCCGAGGGCCACATTGCCATAATTATGGATGTGGAAGGCATGGGTTGTTAAACCCAGGACGCAAGGTACTCTTGATTTGGCAGGGTCGCCCAATTAATCAACTTCGACTGAAACGTGAGGGGATTCATGAGTAGGAGGAGCGAGTAGGGGAACAAACAATTGCATGAACATAAACTGTCGAAGGTCTGAGCTGATTTCTCGGATCGGTGCTGGACCCCCCATCCCTGGCGCGCGAAGCGCGCCCTTGGCGGCGCTGGGGGCACCGCCAAGGGATTCAGCGCCGATCCGCGAGATCTGCGTGGAGTTGACGGCAGGTCAGTGTTGTGCCGACTTCGGCCTTGGTTTCTGACACCGCGGGGATCGTTCAATCTTGAACGATTGGCCGTTTCCGAGAGGTTAGATCGTTCAACATCGCCCGGTTCTGGGTCGCAGGAGGCGTTCAACGTTGATCGCCGGCCGCGGGGCTGCTGCCAGTCGACACGACGCGAGCCTACTGTACGCTCTTGTTTTCTCGAGAATAGGAGGGAGGGAGGGTTTGGCCTCCTGGGCCCCTGGGCCCCCCGGCGGCGCCTCTGGCGCCGCCCTTGGCGCGCTCCGCGCGCCAGGGAAGCGCCGATCCGAGAAATCCGCGCGGGCCTCCGAAAGCAAGTGTTCATGCCGCGTCCTCCTCCCCGGGAGCAGGGGGAGGGCGGGAGGCAGGGAGGGAGGGCGGGCCGCCCAAGACCACGGCCCACGAGATTTTATGTTTGTGCCGCTTCGTCTTCCCATTATTCGTCTTCTTGTTATTCATTATTAGTATTATTCTTATTACTATTATTATTCGTATTATTATTCTTGCTATTATTTCTAGTGGTTCCCTTCTTCTTCTGAAAACTGTTATTATTATTGATAACATTGATATCATTATTACATGTGGTTATTATTATTATTATTCTTCCTCGAGGGCAGGAGGGGGACGGGAGGGAGGGCGACGAGGAGGGGGAAGGCGAGGGGGAGGGCGAACAAGGCGAAGGGGGGAGGGGATGCCAGCGGCCGCAGCTGGCCACCGGCGCAAGACGCCGCTCGCGGGCCCAGCAGCCCGAGGAGGCCGAGCGGGCCTCCTCCTCCTCCTCCTCCTCCCTCCTCCCTCCTCCCTCCACCTCCTCCTCCACCTTCTCCTCCACCTGCACCTCCTCCTCCTCCTCCTCCTCCTCCTCCTCCTCCTCCTCCCTACTTCCTCCTCCCTACTCACTCACTCACTCACTCACTCACTCACTCACTCACTCACTCACTCACTCACTCACTCATGGCTTCAAGGGACGCAGTCTGTAGCCACCAATCTGGCCACTCCCCGCGGCTTGCGCCGTGGGAAGGGGGGTTCAACGAAAAAGAAAAAACCATTCCCCCTCACCGCGCTCCGCCCTCCCCTCTATCGACAACCGCTCTCACCATTCCGGCGTGAACTGCCAGGCTTGAAAAAAGGGATAGAACGGGGAAGGTGAGCACGCGCGATGGACCGAGAAAGCGGAGCGCTCGGCCGCCGCGGCGTCGTGGCACCTCCAAGCAAGTTTGTCTGTGCGCAAGCGCACCCAGCGAAGGGGGGGGAGAAGGACGAGAGGGAAAGTGACCGGGCAGGCAGAAGGGGAAGGTTGGCGAGGTAGCGTGGCCATCTGTGAAAAGAGCAAGCAGGCCGTGGCGAAAATATGATTCTCCCTCCAGTCCCGAGCCTCTCAATCCCCCCTAGATCACCACCTTCACTGGCCCAAATGCGGTGGAGAGAAATTTGCCCCTGCATCGGTGGCGGCGGGAGGAAGGGTGAAACCAAACTGGTCTGACATCGACACATAGGGGGCGAGGCGGGCCGCGGTGGGTGATCCCCCTGGACAAGGCGGGCCCAACGACGGCTGAGAAGTAGGGTGTCCAGGGCGCGCCTTGATGCATCACTTCTGACCCCGCGAGTCGCCACGCGACCTCGCGTGGACCGCTTTCAGTGGCAGGAGGATGTGGTCCAGAGGGGGAGAAGTAAGCGATTTTAGGTGCGTGTGGTATATTAAACGCATACTCGCTAATACGACAGCACTCGGACCTGTCCGACGGCGGGCTGAAATAAGTTCGAACATAATTCGTACATCTTCTTAACTAATCATGGAATGTCAGCGAGATGTGGCGCCAGGGATTCTGGCGGCAGGCTGGCGGTAGCAAGTGCTGTAGGTTCTGGGCTGGGCCACCAGAGCAGGACCCTTACTGCCTGCAGCGGTAAAAGAAATTATGTAATGCTGAAGCTGTTGCCGAGAGAGAAGGGAAGGTGGAGAGGATATGAAGGAAAGGAAGGAAGAGAGGTCTTTTGATGCTGATCTCGGCGGTAGAAACACAGGCGGAACGAAGACGAAACTTGCCGTCGGCGAGCTCGGTCATCTGACGATACCAGCACCATCCCCTCCAACCGCCCCCTCCTCGCAAGACGGCCGCGTGGCACGCGAGAAGCTGGGCCTGGTCGGCCTTCGCGTCTGGGGTTTGGCGGCTCACCCCAGCAACCTCCAACCAATGCCCGAACAGCGCTTGCCAAGGTCGAGAGGGGTCATTGTTGTGGGTCCAGCTCGCCGGTGCATGTTGCAATCTTTTCCTGGGTTCAGCACCGCAGCCCTTTGTGCCAAGAGACGGTAGTGGCGCAAGGCAGCCCGACGTATGCCTGGAACGTCAAGATATCACTGTATCCCTGCCCACAACAGGCAGCAGCGGCCTCGAATTAATGACGCCTGCCATGGGGCATCCGACGGAAAAAGACGAGGTGAAGAGGCGAGGGCGACGGGCATTCCTGGGCGCAGTGCTTCTCTCGTGGCGGTGGGAGTCGCCTGGTAGCAAAGCGGCGTATGTATGAATGCGGACGCCCCTCCCCTCCCAGACCCAATCTCCAGCACCCCATCCCTCCACGACCACAAGAGTGGGGGGGAGAAGGACGAGGGGGGAAAGCAGGAACGAAAGAAAATATAAACGGGCGGGCAGGGAGGGACGGGAAGGTTGGGAGAGGGCCACTAACGGTTAGTCTCCTTGGAGGTCGAAGCGGATGGCACTCGTCCTCTGTCGCGGCGCAGCTCCGGGCCCTAGCAAGCGCGCCAAGCTCGGGAGCCTGGCGCGGCTACGAGACTGTCCAGGATCGAAAGCCCGCGCAGCCTCCTCGGCGGGCGCTGCCGTGGCGTCGGCTGCGGAGGGTGGCTCTCGCGTCGGGTTGGAGTCGCTCTCGATGGTGGAATCGCTCTCGGTGGTGCCCTCAGAAGCGGCGGCGGCGCGGTGGGCACGGGTGGCCCCTCCTGCGAAGACGTGGTCCGCCGCATATGCGATCGGCACGACTTGAGGCAGAATCTGCAGGTCCAACATCGGCACGAAGACAGGCGCTTCCTTCTGCAGGCTAGACCCGATGTCGTCAGCGCAGTTGCCACTGAGCGCGGTGTCCTCTGCGTAACTCCATTGCCTGGGGGGTCTGGTGGGAACCGTGATGCCCTCGAATGCAAACGCCCCCTGGCCGACTTGGGTCGGGCTGATCTGGATCAAGATGTACTTGGTCCTGCCATTGGCGCTCTTGTCGGTATTGGTGCTGGCGTCGGCGAAGCCGCAGGTGCCAGCCCGCGCATGCCTCGCGGCTGCCTCGGCGGCGAGTCAGCGCCTGCGGCGCGCCGCCCGCGTGGCAGCCGAAGGCCCCAGCACGGCAATCTCCCAGTTCCGGAGGTCGTCGGGGCGCCACGCGTTCGGGCAGCCCCCCGTCAGGCCATGGCTCATGTCCTGTGCGTCTTTGGCGCGGGTCCAGCAAGGCGCAAGCAGAAACACCAGAAGAAGCAAAGGATATGGAATGAAATGTAACAGGTAAGCTGGGCGATAAAAGATGTAAGAGATGTGTCCTGCAAGCGAGAATCGCGGGCATTGCTGTTCACGAAGTGTGGCCCCGCCTGGGCGCGGCCACGGACCTCGGGCCCCGCGCATTCCTCCCTCCTCCTCCTCCGCCCTCTTCCGCCTCCTCCTCCTCCTCCACCTCCTCCTCCTCCTCTTCCTCCTCCTCCTCCTCCTCCTCCTCCTCCTCCTCCTCCTCCTCCCCTTCCCCCTCTCGTGTCGATGAAGTTACTATGATTATTTCGTCCCCTTCCCTTTCTCCCAGAGCATGTGCGTGCAATTCCTGTCGTCCGCCGCTGCCACTGACGTTCAAGCTCGGGCGAGCCAGGGGCCCACACGGTGCTCACAACCCCAGACTCGGACCGTCTCGCCGAGCTGCGTTCAGGAGAGAAACAGTGCCAGTCACCCCATACTCTCCGCCACTTGTACTCTCCTCCTCCTCCTGCTCCTCCTCCTCCTCCTGCTCCTCCTCCTCCTCCTCCCCCTCCTCCTCCTCCTCCCCCTCCTCCTCCACCTCCTCCTCCTCCTGCTCCTCCCTCCCTCCCTCCCTCCCTCCTCCTCCTCCTCCCCCTCCTCCTCCTCTTCAGAGCTCCTCGTCAGACCACGGCGCTCGCCGCGGCGCCGCCTGAGAGGGCAGCGTGCCACCCCCCCGCAGCCAGCGCCAGGAAGGCAGCCAGCCCCGACTTCGCCTCGGCCCGGCTCGAAAAAAGCCGCAGGGTGATGTGGTCTACGGCTCCAGTCCCAGACATGACCGCGCCGTAACAAAAATCAGGACGGGAGGTTCTTGGCCATTTTCGGTCTCCAGGGGGCCCTCGCCCGGCCTCGGGACCGTCAAATAACGACTCAGGGGAAGGGTCGGGACTTCCAAGGTGCACCCCGCCCCCCTGCGGCCGGCGCCAGGAAGGCGTGAGGGGGAGCGACCTGCAGTCGACAAGACGTCGCTGACCAACAGGCGGTGGGCCGCCGATGGCGAATCCGCGCCTTCCCGGGCGCATCGGGCCCCGGTTGGCGATCGGTGGGCGATGAGGGACCCGTGCGTCCCTCGATGAGCCTGCCGTCCTTTAAAGCCTGCCCCTGCAGGCAGCAGGCGCGCGCCCCAGGCAGGGGCCGAGGGGTGCGGCACTTCCACGGTGGCCTGCCAGCCCTGCGGCGCTGCAGGGGTGCACCGACGAGCTCGGGCGCAGCCGCACGCGGGTCGAGCTGCGGCGCGGGGCTCGGCGAGGGGCAGGTGCAGGCCACGGGCCGCCAGGGGGGGCATCGCCGCTGCCGGGAGGAGCGGGCTGCGGTCACGGCCGCAGGCCTCCGGCGAGGTCTCCGGAGGGCCGCCTCGGAAGGGGCCTCGGGAGGTCCTCCAAAAGAGCCCCGAAAGGGCTCAGAGACCCCGATCCTCGAAACTCGGAGACCGAGGAGCAGGAGGAGGAGGAGAAGGAGGAGGATGAGGAGGAGGAGGATGATGATGATGATGATGATGATGATGATGATGAGGGTTGGGAACAAAAATGCGGAGGATGGACAACATAATGCAAATCGGAATGCACCTCGAATGGCAAATCCGATGACAATCGAGACGCAGCTCGAAACAACCTGATCGACCTGCAATCCGAGACGCACACCGCCAGTGTGTTCGAACTGTAAATGGAGATGGGAATCCCATGCCAGTCCAATGGCAATCGCAATGCAAATCGAGATCGAAAACTACATGCAAACCTGAATCATAATCGAAACGCAACTCGTAGAACTCTTGCGGAGAAAAGCTTACAGCCTCCATCTCAAGAACCTCCATAACCCCCATACATCGATCTGTTCGAACTCTCCACGAACAACCCAGCCCTTTCAGGACATACATAACATCGCACAAGACGTCGTCAGCGTCTTCTAGGAGAGGAACCTGCTGGTTGCCGAGGAGGAGAAGGGCTAAGGAGGGGAAAGATGAAGAAGGGCGAGGGGAAACGTCCTGCAGTTTCACCTTGAGCCTGTCCTGCAACAAGAGTTTGAACTCCTCCTTGTCGATCGTGCCATCGCCGTTTTCGTCGTACTTCCTGACTTGTGCGAGGGACATAGATGGAGCCCCACTAGGCACCAAATATACACCTGAGAAGCCTCCAACATGCCTTCGAAAAGGAGGCGAGGGGAGGGGCGAGGAGGAGGATGAGACGAGCGCAGAGGGATAGGAGGAGAAGGAGCAGGAGGAGGAGGACAACCAGGAGGAGGGAGGAACAGTGACGAGGCTGAGGAAAAGGTGGATGTGTGCAAGAGCCGCGCTAGCTCAGGCGGGCATTCGAAGTTGAGCTGGTCTTACATTCTTACGCTCATCCTTCGCCCTGCTGCGCTGCCACGGGGTGCACGGGCACGGTGGCGCGACTTGCCGCTGGATCACATCGCAGCACTGCTCCCCGACGCGCGGCGTAACGACCCCCTACAACGTTCCATAAACCCCCTTGGGGGGACTTTGTATCGCTGAGAACTCTTTGTGCCCTTGAACCGATCCCCCTGCACCCTTGCCCCGCGAAGTAGACACGGTGGCAGGGTGGGGCGAAGGGAAAATGCCGCTCGGTAGGGGAAGTCATCGCAATACTCGTCTCAATACGACACACAAATTACATCATCGATTGCCACCAAGGCCAGAATGAAAAAAACACTGGGTAACCCATCAAAGACTATGCTTGAAACTCGTGGGGAACCACATCGGCATCCGAATCGTCTTCCGGTCAGCCACCGTGCCGTAGCTTTTTTGATTGCCATGTACTCCAGACACTGGCATAGGGGTGGACGCAATACCTTCTGAATCGCATGTGGCCTTTCGATGTGCCAACAAACGAACTTCGTAACTACAGAGCCAGCGGCAGCGCGGGGCCGTTCGACACCCCGACTGGGAGGTGCGCGGCCCGCGCCAACGCCCGCATCACCCACAACCCGAAAGCAACACACGAACGCCTTTCCCGAAAGCCCACCACGCCCAGCACCACTCACCTTCCACGCGTCCGCGTCGCCGAGCCGCGCGCCGCGCCGTCGAGGCGCCGCCGGTGCCCTCCTCGAGCCACCTCAACGCGCCGCCGCAGGCGTCGACGTCGTCGCCGTCGGCGGCGGCGGCGTCGGCGTCGGCGACGGCGTCGACGCAATGTACTCTGCAACGCACGAGCGCCTTTCCCGAAAGCGCAACTCCCATGCAAAGGCAACGGGTAAAACAGGGCGGCGCGGGCGCAAGCGGCCCCTGCGCTGCCCTGACAGAACACGACGACTAATGGGACAGAAGGGCGGCGCGGGCGCAGGCGTCCCAGCGCTGCCCTGACAGTACCAGTTGACTAAGCGTGCCTCGGGGCGGACGACAAGGGGGTGGATAGCAGAAGGGGGGGCGATCGAACGAGGAGGAGGGCAAGGATCGGCCGCATACATCGATGTGTGCGCGCGGATCGCCCTACGGCCCGAGCCCGCGCGAGCGAGGGGCAGCCCAGCAAGTGCTGAGGAGGGAGGTCGAGGAGACCGAGGAGGAGGGCAAGGAGTGCCCCTCATCAAGTTGCGCCTGTCATTGTGCACGCGGCCTGTGTTCTTTGCAAGTCTGGGTGCCATGAAACGGCCTGTGTCCACTGCCATCCATCTCCACGTCGCAGTCTATGGCACAAGCGCAAGGGAACTGCGCTGGCATTGTACTTGCGGCCCGATGTACAGCGCACGCTCCTTTGCGCCGCATCTGGAACGGCGGCCGATGTCTATTGCCACGCATGTGTCACTTTATCATATTAGCCAGCGCTCACCCCAACGCTGACCACGTGAGGAGGAGCGCTAGGAGGGCAAGCAGGAGGAGGGGCGAGTGAAAAAAAAAAGCCTGGCGAAGGACCCAACCATATGCAGTTGTGCAGTTGTGAGTACCGCAGTTGTGAATCTAATCCTTGGTGGAGCTCCTCATGGGGCCACGAACTGTGTGAGGGGCCTGCCACAGTGGTGGTGGTGGGGAACCGCATGCGGGCACCCCCACTGGTGCCTACGGTGGAGCTCCCTGTGGGGCCAAGAAACGCTGCCGTGAGTGGGGGAACCGCATGCGGGCACCCCCACTGGGGCCTACGGTGGAGCTCCCTGTGGGGCCACGAAACGCTGCCCTGGGTGGGGGAACGGACAACCCCACTGGGGCCTTCGGTGGAGCTCCTTATGGGGCCACGAAACGCTGCCCTGGGCGGGGGAACCGCACGCGGGCACCCCCATTGGGGCCTTCGGTGGAGCTCCCTATGGGGCCACGAAGCGCTGCCCTGGATGGGGGAACCGCATGCGGGCACCCCCACTGGGGCCTTCGGTGGAGCTCCCATGGGGCTGCGAAGCGCTGCGCTGGGTGGGGGAACCGCATGCGGGCACCCCCACTGGTGCCTACGGTGGAGCTGCCTGTGGGGCCAAGAAACGCTGCCCTGGGTGAGGGAACCGCATGCGGGCACCCCCACTGGGGCCTGCGGTGGAGCTCCCTGTGGGGCCACGAAACGTTGCCCTGGGTGGGGGAACCGCATGCGGGCACCCCCACTGGGCCCCCGATATCGCCTCAAGACAGCCCAAAAGGCTGCCCACAGGGCCCAAGACTGCCCCAGAGATCCCCGAGACTGCCCGCAAAAAAACCCAATATGCCCCCAGAAGCTCCCAAGAGAGACCCACGAAAACCAGGGGATACCCCCAAGAAAGCCACTGGAGGCCCCCAAGAGGGCCCTAGATGGCTTCAGAAGACCTCTGGAGGGCCCCAGCTCCCCAAGACGGCCCAAAAAGGCCCCGGGACGGACGGCCCAATAGGGTCCCAGGGCGGCCCAAAACAGCACCAAAAACGCCCTGACGACGCTCTCCTAAGAAGTACATCGAGCTGACCCGACGATCTTGGTCTCACGCTTGAGGCTTGAGGTTTATGTAAGTTCCTCGAATGAGAATAACAGGCAATCGATTTAGATTCGAAGTTCAACGGTCGAAGATTCCCTGAATGCCTGGAGCCCTCCAGGCATTCAGGAAGCTACCAATAATCGATTTGTTCGGAGCTACTGCGACTTCTTCGGCGTGTCATGGGAACGCCCTTACTTCCTCAAAGGATTTTCGCGCGTGGAAGAATGACCATTCCTTCCCCGCTCCCGCGCACAAGGGTGCTGGCGCATCGGGCGAACGCGGTGTCAGCAGGCACCAAGGATATCGAAAAATGAGCTGGTCGCCCGTTCAGGCCTCGAGGTTCCCCCTGCTGAAGCAAACGATGATTTACTGCTTTGCCGGGGAGGGTCCGGAACAAAGCGCATGGCGCGAAGCGCCAGTGCAGTTTCGTACATATATATATATACATATATATAAAAGACACATTTACGTGTATACGTATGTATGTATATATTCACATGTGTATATATGTATGTGTGTTTTCGTTCCTCGACGCAGGCGACGGGGGGGAGGCCTTTACAACGAAACCAGGACGAGGAAAACTCGTGCGAAACTAAATCAAGAACCTCTGAGATCCAAATGTCTCGGGCGCCGCGACCTGCTCAAAGCGTTCCGCAACGACTTGGCGGCGGCGTTCCGGAACGCTCTGGAATAGATTTATCCTCGTCCTGGCCACGTCCGAAAAGGATTTGGAGTCCCGAAACGCTGCGGTGACAGATCGCGCGGTGACCGCGAAATCCCCCAAGACCTCACCGCACGGTCCGTCAACGCACGGTTTTGGGACCTCGGATGCCCCAGTCGCCCGAGACGTCCTCGGAGAACGACCCGAGTCCCAAAACCTTGCGGTGACCCCGAATCCTCACCGATTCGCCACACGGTGTTGTCACCAACCCGTTTGGGGCCCCCCCAAAGGACTGGGGCGCCCTCGGGCGACGCCCCCTGATCCGGGGCAGCCGCCGGGCGCGCAGCTCTCGCGGCTCTGCCAGGCCCCGGCGCCAACCTCTCCGGGACCCGCGCGGCTCGCGCGCCGCGCCACGGGGGAGCGCGCCAGTGTCGGCGCCTCCCCCGAATACAACAACGGGCCCGAGCGCACCCAAGCCTTTCCATCCAGTTCCTCTTCTTCCTCCTCCTCCTCCTCGTCGTTTTCCTCCTCCTCCTCTTCTTCTTGCGATTAGTGTTATTCTCCTTACTATTAGCATCATTCTTCTTCTGATCATCAATAATATAAGTTATTAGTTTCTGATTCTTCTTAGCATAATTCGTATTACTGTTATTATTGATAATATTATTCCTCCTCCTCCCCCTCCCCCTCCACCTCCTCCCTCCCTCCTCCTCCCCTCCTCTCATCCTCCTCTCGTCCTCCTCCCCGTCCTCCTCCTCCTCCTCTCTCTCTCCTCCTCCTCCTCCTCCTCCTCCTCCTCTTCTCCTCCTCCTCCTCCTCTCCTCTCTCTTCCTCCTCCTCCTCCTCCCTCTCCTCCTCTCTCCCCTCCTCCTCCTCCTCCTCCTCCTCCTCCTCCTCCTCCTCCCCTCCTCCTCCTCCTCCTCTCCTCCTCTCTCCTCCTCCTCCTCCTCCTCCTCTCCTCTCCTCCTCCTCCCTCCTCCTCCTCCTCCTCGTCCTATCCTCTCCTCCTCATCCTCCTCATCCTCCTCCTCTCCTCCTCCCTGCTCTCTCCGCCGACTCCTCCTCCTCCGTCATCCTCTCCTTCCCCTCCTATCCTCCCCTCCCCTCCTCCTCCTCCTCCTCTCTCCTCCTCCTCCTCCTCCTCCCCTCTCCTCCTCTCCTCCTCTCCTCTCCTCCTCATTCCGCCTCCTCATCCTCCTCCTCCTCCTCATCCTCCTCCTCCTCCTCCTCCCCTCCCCTCCCCTCCCCTCTCCCCTCCTCCTCCCCTCCTCCTCCTCCTCATCCTCCCTCCTACCTCTCCGTCCTCCTCCTCCTCACTACTCCTCCTCCTCTCCTCCTCCCCCTCTCCTCCTCCCGTCCTTCGCCTCCCCTCCCGCATCCCCTCCCCCCCCTACCCCTTCCATTCCCCCTCCTCCTTTTCAACCCTCTCCTCCGCCCCTGCTCCTCTCTGTCTTCCTCCTCCTCCTCTCTCTTCATTCTCCTCCCCTCCCTCACATTCCCTCCCCGCCTCCTCCTCCTCTCTCCTCCTCCTCT